CGAAGTTACAATGTGAAGGTGGGTGTTCCCGTTGAACTAGAGGAGCATTAATGTGTGTTTTATTGCCTATACAACATTTACAGTGCGATGCGATTGTTTTGTTTATTTATTGCCGTTAAAGCTTCGGGAAACATATCAATGAGCGGAACTAGGCCCTTATATTCAGAAAACAGATGCATGAACTTTCAAAACAGATCTACTTTCCGCGCAAGAGCATTAGACGTGAACTAAAGCATGCAATACTCGCACTGCCTACCTTGCGTCGTTCCATGTAAGTTAGTTTAATCCAATGCAATTTAACAGCCTTGTGTTCATTTAGATTCTCTCTCTCTCTTTTTCTTATTGCAGTACGGCGACATTATGCACCCCACGAATAATTTGACACGATATCTTCTTCTACATGAAAAACAGTACTGTAACGCCGTATCGCGAGGCGCACGAGCGTCACGAGCATTTTCGCAGCAAATTGGGTTTGAAAGTCATGCAGTAGTTCCACTTACCTCTCCAGCGCGGTGCATCAGACATTTACAGGACTGAAAAATGCTGCGAAGCCCCTTTGGTCAGTTTCCAGACTCACTAATGTCACGGGCCACGCAAGTTTGAGTCACACCCCGCGCATCACATGGCTGTGATCACGGATCTGTGACTACAGTAACCAACTGCTCGTGTCCTTCACTTTCTCAGCAAGGAAAAAAAGGTTTGTAATTCAGATATTTTGTTTCATGGTTGGGAGCATAAAAGTATTATTATTATTATTACTGAATGATAATTACTTTAATACTTATTATTTTATGTTATTATTTAAATGTGACAGTAATATCACCACTTAATAATAACAATACTGCTAGGCCTACTACTACTACTAATAATTTAAAATGCCCAATGGTTTTTATTTTTTTATATATGTGCCAATCATTTCACAAACATAATAATAATAATAATATATTATATATTTTTTAGTAGTAGTAGTTATTAGTAGTCTTACTAGTAGTATTTACAGTAAGTCATATTATTTATTATATTATTTATTTTTATTTAATTGACATAATAATAACAAAACCATATAATAATAATAATAATAATAAATTAGTAAATAAATAAATAACAATAATAAGGGGTCTGATAATTATTCTTATATTATTTATTTTTTAATTTAATTGACAATAATATCACAGCTGCTACATAATAATAATAATAATATATTATAAATAATAATAATAATTATTTTATTAGTAGTCTTACTAGTATTATTTTATTTAATTGACATAATAATAACAAAACCATATAATAATAATAATAAATGAGTAAATAAATAAATAAATAACAATAATAAGGGGTCTGATAATGATTTTTTATATTATTTATTTTATTTTATTTATTTGACAATATCACAACTGCTTCATATTAATAATAATAATAATAATAATAATAAATGTTGACTTTTATATTTCTAATTTTTAAAAACCTGTTAGTAGTAGTGGTGGTATATTGACAAAAAAGATGTTGTCTGTAAGAAATTTATAAATGAAGCTCTGCAGCCTTATACATCCCAAACCTAACCTTTAGGATGGGTAATTCAGACAGGTCTATGACAGCATCATGACGACATTCGTTTCAGTATAACCCCATGTGCAATAATGGTACGGCAGCAAAACCCCCAGACTTTTCATGTGGCCTGCTATGGTTTATGGAAAGCGGACCCACACCTTTCTAGAGTTTGCTGCCTCTCCCACCTCTCTCGGTCTCTTGCACACACACACACACACACACACGCTCATTTCAACCGAATAGTTGACATTCTTGTGGGGAAATTATGAGCAAATACCTTTCCAACATGTGTCCGCCTTTAACACACAAACACTCACAGACACCTTGTCAAAGTTTGCTGTTGCAGACAGTCGTATTTGACACATGTTGTACTGGAGGAAGTGGCAAAATCTCTGTTTAGTGGCATTAAAAAAAGAATGACATAAAACTGTAGAGGACTTCTGCTTTTTCATTTTAACTGTGTGTGTGTGTGTGTGTGTGTGTGTGTGCATATAGAGGAACTATGAATGAATGTGCGGTTTGTGGATTTTTATGATTCTTTCTTGAGCAGTCATCAGGCATTTCAGTAATTTGAAATTCACTAGCGCCCCCTCGAGGTCTCAGACGGTGAAAAAAGAGAGAAAGAGCCTATCATTGCCATCCTATTTTTGCACAAAGAATACCATGAATACAATAATCATTCAGACCACGACTAGCCAGTGAATTTGTGGAGCACTAGGGAAGTTTAAGAAAAATAAAAAAATATATAATGTACTTTTTATAATATATAGCCCATATATTATAATACATAATGTTAATTTAAGTAAATGTATTTTCATTTTACTGTTGAATATATTTTACACTCTTTACAAGTGTATGTGTATCAGAAAATGACCACTTTAGTAGCTACATATTTAATGTTTAAGGTCTTAAAGTTTGCAAAGTAAACATGCAAGGACAAAAATAAAAGCTGAATAAAATTAAGATAGAAATACACTTAAATCACGTGTGTAGGCCTAAATGCTTTCCGTGTAAGTGTCTGTAGTGGTCTGTGGGAAGGAGAGCAGCGTGTCCTGTAATCTCCCATCCATAAAAGCACACATGCGTAAACACAAACCAGACACACACGTACACACGTGCTTCCTCGTGGTAAACACTTGGTCGAACCACAACCACAAGCTTGAAATGTGCAGCATTATAGAAATAGTCCAATTCTACGTTCTTCTTCCTCTCCACCTTCCGGATGATTTTTTTTTATTCGACGACTGTGCAGAATTTTTTAAGAACCCCTAACGAAGAGAAATTCCGGAAAATATTTTCTGCAGTACAAACCTAAGACTTCATTAGCAGCTAATAAAAAATGCGGTCATGGAAGAAAGACTGCAGCGAATCTCTTTCCCTGTTTGATGCTGTGACCGCGTATCTCTGCCAATCTCTCCAGCTCTGGCTGACTTCAGTCTCAGCTCGTAACTGCACAATGCAAACCACAATCACCTCAGTACGGATCAAGATAATTACACTGGACAAACTTTACACACGCAAGCACTCACACTCACACAAAATAAGAAAACAACACACCAGAGTAAAATAATCAAACGCCACACACTTCAGTGCTGAATAAACAAACATCTTTTTTTTTCAGAATGTGAATACTTTATTTAAGCCTAGTTAATCTTGTTCAGGGAGTTCAAACAAAAGTTACCACATCTGATTTTCCTCTGTGCGCATATGGGTGTATGTAGGCATGTTCAAATATGTTTACTGTTCAGTTCAGTCCAGTCATGATGATATAGACTCTTAATGACTTGATATTAGTAACACACTACTGTTCAAAAGATTGTTGGTAGGGTTTTTAAAATGTTTTTTGAATTTAGTCTCTTTTGCTCACCAAGGCTGCATTTATTTGATCAATGATACAGTAAAAACGGTAATATTGTTAAATATTATTGCCGTTTTAAATAGCTGTTTTCTAATTAAATATACTGTAAAATGCAATTTATTCCTGTCATGTCAAAGCTGAATTTTTAGCATCATTACTCCAGTCTTCAGTGTCACATGATCCTTCAGAAATCATTCTAAGATGCTGATTTGCTGCAAGAAACATTTCTTATCATTGCCAATATTGAAACAGTTTTTTCATCTTAACATTGTTGTGAAAACTGTTTTGATGAATAGAAAGTTTGAAAAGTCTTTACTGTAATTTTTGATCAGTGCCCTCTTACAAATGATATTAGACATTTATATATAAACAATTGGATAAAAATGTCATTTCCAAGATGACATCTGGATGCAACTTGCAGATATACAAAACAACGATTTCCAGTGACAATTTACCAATTGCATATTGCATATTGATACACTACATTTAAAATGTAACAGGCATCATATAGTATACAATATGCAGTATGCAGTACATACTATGCTAGTATTCCGAATTCCATTCGGAACAAAATTGAAATGGCATGACAGCAAAAGACAGTGCTGGATGAGGCCTTTCTTTTACTGTGCGATTCTCTTACCTTCAGTTAATGAATGATAGTTATACACAGATCTTAAAGAGCAGGTCATATGGGTTTTCGAAAAATATATTTTTTTGCAGTTTGTAACAAGTTGTTAATCAAAAAAGTGCATGATAAATAAAGATATTGTCTCTCAAAAGAAAGAGTCGACTCTGAACTGCCTTAACGAGTCGTCAGATTTTCGAATCTTCTGCCGGTTACCTATATACGTCACAAGGTAACACATTTGCATAATCCCCACCTGCCCACGAAATACGAACACTCTGACCTGCCCACAAACACTTCCGCTAGTTATCGTGTTTACATCATGTCGAGAAGACCTGTGTTTTCAGCCTTACTGGGCATTCTAACACAGTTCCCACATGTGCACCTCAAATAAGTAAATAATAATAATAATGAATGCAATAAAACTGCTGTCACATCATGTAAAGTACCAAATACAAAGTTTAAACTTACCACTGAGAAACGTCCTGCTCAACTCGAGGTTGCGATGGAGTTTCCAGTTGAGCATCGGAATCATCCTCGGACTCGGGCTCAAACTGATAAGGTAATATTGATGCCATTTTGTAACCTTATAGCATCTTTGTTTACAAGTAACCCTCCGGAGCAAAATATTTATTATGGTAATGGGTATTTCGTTTCCGACATGCATTGTATATGGAAAGACCAATCACAACAGACTTTGCCAGCTGACCAATCAGAGCAGAGTAGGCTGATGGAAGGGAGGAGTTTACAGTCCTTAAGCTCAGAACTGCTTTGAACGAATCGTTTTGAAATCATTGAAAAATGATTCTAATATTAAATGTATATTCTGAGAAAATTACAATGTTTTCTGACCTTAGATGCATTTAAACCTGTTGTAGGGGACTCCAACACAATATTAGGACACTTTAAAATACCATATGACCTGCTCTTTAAGGTAATATAACATTAATCAAAACTATGTTTAAGAGTGGTAGAGGAACTCAGAAGGCATTGGGGAGTTTGTGTTGTGACCTGTGTTGTGCGTGTTGTGATGGAGAGGTGCCGGTGGGGCTGGATGGGCTCAGAGATCTGTGGGACAGTTGGGGTGAAGGCACTGATGGGGATGTGATTGTGGAATTGTCAGAAACGTTGTCCACTCCCACGCTCTCCTGATATAGACAGTTTCTCCTGAGTTTTGCACGGGCATTTTGGAACCAAACCTGCAGAAAATGAAGACATCATTAGGATTTGACACAAACTTATTTACATATCATCGGGGATGGAGGGAATGAAAGATTTATTTATTTATTTTATTTAACATCTGACTGTCTGTATTCAAAGGAATCACATGATCAATTGTTGTAAATTTACTTTGATTAGTGGCCTAGAAATAGTGCCAAACCTCAAACATTTTCTAAACCTTACACTATGGAAGCACATTTTCCACCATGAAATAAAAAAAATAAAATAAAAGTGGTAATTGCAACTTTTTATCTCATAATTCTGACATTTTCTTGCAATTGTACGTTTACATCTCACACTTCTGACTTGTTTTCTCTCAATTGTGAAACCTTGTTCCACCAAAAAATAAAAAAGGTAATTGCAACTTTTTTTTCACAGTTCTAACCTTTTTGTCTCAGAATTTTAAATGCAATTTGAAGTTATGAACTCGTAATGTCATGTCACATGTCATGTAATTGTGAGTTCAGAACTTCACATCTCTCCATTTTTATCTAATTTTATCGCAATTTTATATCTCACACTTTTTTTGTCACAATTTCTTGTTTAAATCTCACAATTCTGCCTTTTTTTCCAGAATTGCAAATCATAATTTTTTGTAATTGCGAGTTTACGTCTTGGAATTCTGACTTTTTTTTCTCGTAATTCTGCAATTATGGAAGCTTGGATAGGATAAAAACAAATCAAAAAAGGTAATAGCGACTTTTTATCGTACAATTCTGACCTTTTTTCTTGCAACGATTTTATATCTCACAATTTTGTCTTTGTAAATTCAGAATTCTGAGAATAGAAGTCTGAATTGTGATTTGTAAACTCATAATTCATCATTAGGATTTGACAACATTAGAAATTGTGAGATGTAAACGAGATGTAAACTCACAATTACAAGATATAAATTCAGAATTGTGATATATAAACTCTCAATTCTTGAAAAAAAAAACAAGCTTCCATTCTAAACCTTTCTGTTTATTTCCATGCTTAAATGCCACATTTTCAATGTGGTCTCAGACTTTTGGATCCCACTGTATATCAAACTCAAACAGAGGTCCAGAGAGGTTTTTCTGACCTGGAGCACACGTTTGGTGAGGCCGGTTTTCTGGGCGAGCTCTTTGAGGTCTTTGGCATCTGGATTGTGGTTGTGGGTGAAGAAGTTCTGCATGCTCCGCAGCTGGTGATGCTTGAAAGACGTTCTCATGCGTTTGGACTTCTGACAGCTCATTCTCTCCGACAAGTCCACACCCATATCGCTCACATCTAGAGTGCACATAAACAGTTAATCATCACTGATATGACTCACACTAAAGGCCAGGGCATTACAGTCAACAACATGGCAATACGATCTTTGAGGTTTTTTAGTCTGGTTTCAGAAAATTTCACTCTACTGAGACTGCATTGTTGAAGGTTTTTAATGATATACTATTAACATGTGACTCAGGCAACTACGCTGTTCTGGTGCTTTTAGATCTTACTGCCGCATTTGATACTGTTGATCATGCTGTCCTTATTGATCGATTGGAACACTGTGCAGGTATTACAGGCAGTGCATTGGAGTGGTTTAAATCTTATCTTACCAATAGAAGTTTTTCAGTTAATATAGGAGATCGTACTTCTTGTAATGCTGTATTAACCTGTGGGGTTCCCCAAGGATCCATTTTGGCTCCTATCCTTTTTTCTGTATATATGCTTCCACTTGGTTCCATTTTTAGAAAATATGGGCTGTCATTCCATTGTTATGCTGACGATACTCAAGTTTATCTGCCTTTAAAATGGAATTCGGATGGACTGGATGCTCTCCTGGCCTGTTTGACAGATGTAAAGGCATGGTTGTCGCTAGACTTTCTGAATTTCAATGAGGAAAAAACAGAAATGATTGTTTTTAAACCCTCAGATTCTTTGACTGCTCCCAATCCAAACCTTGGTGGGTTATCATCATGTGTTAAGCAATATTTGAAAAATTTGGGTGTTGTATTTGATGAACATCTGAAGTTTGATAGGCAGATAAATTCTGTGATCAAATCATCCTTTTTTCAGTTGCGGATCCTGTCTAAAGCGAAAACTTTTCTTTCTTTTAAAAACTTTGAGAAAGTGATTCATGCTTTTATTACCTCTAGATTAGATTACTGTAACTCACTTTATGCTGGGATTATTCAAACAGCTTTATCCCGATTACAATTGGTTCAGAATGCGGCAGCTAGACTTTTGGATTCATAAACTGTATATATATATACAGTATATATATATAATTACTGTATATATTTTTAGTAGATTTTTAATATATATTAAGTACATTTACATGTTAATATAAGTAAAATTAATATTAAAATAACAATTGTATTTTACATTTAAATTATATTTGTTTTTTATAGGATCTGACTTTGTAATGCTGACATATTGTTTGATAAGAAATATTAATATTTTTATTCTGTTAATCTCAAATAAATGCAAAATATAGCCTATACTTCAGGTCAGAATTTTGGAATAATTCAGATTTTTACTTTTTTTTTTAAACATTAAATGTCTCTTTTGTAAACCAAGGCTGCGTTTATTTGATCAAAATAAAAACATATATAATATTGTGAAATATTATAATTTAAAATAATGTTTGAGTATACAGTGAGTATTCAAAGTCACATGATCCTTTATAAATCACTTCTAATATGCTGATTTGGTACTTAAATATTAATAATGGTACTTATTAACAATGTTGAAGCTGTTTTTGCTGCTTCTGGAAACTATGATGCATTTTTTCAGGATTCTTTGATGAATAAAAAGGTAAAAGATTTCTTTCTTTTTGTTTTACTTACCCCAAACTTGGTACTTTGGTACTGTATCGGTTTAAATAAATAAATAAATAAATGAGCAGCTATTTTACAGCTATTTTTAACAGCTTTGCCATTGCATGAATAAATTACACTTAAAATATATTAAAATATAAAACAGTTACTTTAAATTGTAATATAGTTTAACAATATTACTGTATTTTTAATCAAATAAATACAGATTTGGTGAGGATAAGAGACTTTTAAAAACAGTTACTTATTCCATACTTTTGACATGTAGTGTAAAAATACAGATTATGAAAATATATAAAATGATGCTAATATCTAAAATGCATTACCTGAAACATGGTCTGTTGCATCACAGTTTTTCCTCTTCCGGGCCCGTCCTCTGTGCACAGGGGTCCCTTCATTGCATGTGCCGCTCTCAGGGTTTGGCTCTCCTGGAGACATGTCTGAATAATACAAATCTGTATGACATTCCCTCTGCAGCATAGTCTCGAAATGTACCCGGCAGTACACTGACATCTCTCTCATTCCGTAGTGATCTCCAGTGAACAGCACTTTGTCGCAGGTGGCACAGGAGAAGCAGCTCAAGTGGTACACCAGATCCCTGGCGCGCATCACTACCTCTGAGGCAGAGATTCCCAGGTGGCACCGCGCACATCTTTGCAAAGAAAACCGCCTACTTAAGAGAATACATCTTTATTACGTAGAAACATTTAACTGCATGTGTGTGTGAAAACTCTGTTGGGGCATGTTGTCACAAAACAATGGTTCAGGATTTAGCTAGAATCTTTTGCACTTTTGTTGTTTCATGAAATGTTATGTTTTATAATTATCATACATTTAACTTAAAATATTTTAAAAGTGTTGTGGATCATTTATTTTTTAATATTTCATTAAATGATAGCTCTGTTCTTTTCAAATCAGTGTCAATAACAGCAGGTTCACATTGTGGTAAATTGCACCGTATAGTGTGGCAACAAGGCCATAAGGTCAACGTTTGTTGCATTTTTGTTCTGGTAAATATTTGTGGGGATTAAAAATAAACTGCTCTGAGAAATATTCGCTGGGGTAAAAAGCGTGACAATAGCCCCTGTATGAAGTAATAGCAGCGTGGTGCCGGTGAGTAACAGTCTCGTTTCGAAGTTAAATGGAGAAGTTTATTTAAATATAAATGTATTTTACCTGTAATAGTCCTCCTTACAGTAAATGTCTCCGTGTTTACTGAAGCACGTGAGCTCTGACTCCAGGTCAGCGTGACACGCGCTGCATTTCAAACAGCTCTCGTGCCACTGTCTGTCTGCCGCGAGCAGGTAGAAGCGATCTGAGATCAGCGCGCCGCAGCCCGCGCACACCGGAGACTCACAGCCCTGGAACACCACAGCTAAACATTTATCGTCGTTATCAAACATCCTGAGTTTAAGTTGTCATATATTTGACCAAAATCGGTTCATTTATAGCCTATATGCTGTTTAAGTTCCCCTTCATTTTCAAAGACTATGTGAATGCATGAACATTTATATGAATAAATAGCCTAATGTTTTGAAGCCGACTATTTCTTCATTAATCAGCCTAAAAATAATTCATGTGTGGTTTACGGTACTAATTGTGCCATGCAGAACTTGGCAATGCTGTTAAATATAATGTAATACTTTAAAACAACTGGCACTTTGATTATGACTATAATGATTATTGATTATAATGATTAAAATGATTATTTAACACAACTGAACTTGTTCAATGCACATATCGAACAACAGTTTACAGCTGCACATTTTCACTTTTTACATTGCTAAAAGTTGAAATAATAAAATAAGATTTATATTTACATTACAAAAGAATAAAATGAATTCTTACTGATTCATTGCTTTCCATGTTGATATAGAGCAGTGAGGTCCTTCTCTCCCGCGGTGCAAGGATGAATGTCTATATTTGAACTCCTGTGGGTCAGGGAAATGATTAGATGTCTCTAAAGAGGAGGTTATCCATGTGCTCGAGGATGTTCCACCTGTTGGCTATCTATCTATCTATCTATCTATCTATCTATCTATCTATATCTATCTATCTATCTATCTATCTATCTATCTATATCTGTCTAAATAAACTGCAATCAGAAACTTTGTTTGGAATAACAGATTCAGCGAGGATGCTGCCTGTCTTGATCAATGTCTCTAATTCCGTCTTCAGTTGCTCCCTTTTCTTTTGTAAGAGTGGACGGGATGTAGTTGCATTAGCGCAGAATCAGGGTTTGTGGAAATCCGTTAACTCAGCAGGCTTTTGAATAAGGTTACATCAGATCCGTGCGCTTAGGGACAGGAGGAGGTTACCGCTGTTTGCTCGCATGCACCTCATAGACAATCGTATGGATCCTGAATCATGTTCATATTACTGAATCATCTTGACTACAGTGTTTAAAGGCAACCAATTAAAGTCATTTTAGGAGTAGCAAGAAATAGCAAGCTTATCCATATCCATGTTCACTTTATAGCCTAATGTACCTTTTGCGCACGCTATTCTATTCTATTCTTTTCTATTCTATTCTATTCTGAAACGGCAAACTTTATTCAGAAATATACAAGCCGTTAGGCCTATTAGCAGTGCAATATACTGATACCCGTCCTCGAACTGAATTACACAATAAAGCGATCATAGAAATTGTCATCCAGTCAGAGATAAAATATGTGACGTCTATTAGGCTACGTAATGTCCATGTATATAATTTTTTTTTTCATATTTGTATATAAAAATATTTTAATTTTGTATCTGCAAGCATTTAACCTTAAATGTTTATATATAGCATATATATACATATATATATGTGTGTGTGTGTGTGTGTGTGTGTGTCATTTTGTATATGCACGCATTTAACCTTGATGTTTATATATATATATATATAATATATATAATTATCATTATTATTTTTGTGTGTGAAAGAAAGAAAGAAAGAAAGAAAGAAAGAACAATAACACTACCAGCAACCTCATCTTAAGTTTATTTCACATCCGTAGCAACCCAATCAGCAAAATACCACAGTATAATCTCCTTTCATAAATTACACCACAGTAGTTTTAGACTCTGACTCAGTCTACACTCTTAACAACAAACACATCCGCAGTTCCGCACTGTCCATCTGCCATACAGCTGTGACAGTTGTTACTGCAATTCATTGTTGCAATGCCCAGACTTCATGCTACACTCCCTTCTGTGTCAGGCGACTAACACGCCACGGCTTTTTTGCTATATGGGAAATGACGTTCGGCGTTGTATCGGTCGACAGCCGGAGACGCGCACAAAAAACTACAACTCCCATAATTCCCCAAGGCCGTAGTACCCGTGATTCGCGCGTGGAGACCATGGCGTTCCTGTGCAGTATGTGACGGGGATAACGGGAAATATAACTCCGGCAGCGGGTTATTGTCACATTATTCCGAGGAACGGATTGGATTTAAATAAAGAATAAAATGGGCTCTCGTATCAAGTAAGCGTCAACGTCTCTATCCCCTTTTGCATCACATACAGTGTTGTTATAAATGCCAGTTTTGACCTCCCTAAAAGGCCTGTTTAGACTTGTTGCGACAGAGAGAGACTGTTTTTTGGGGATTTAGGTGTTTATTTTGTTATTTGCATAATTAACGTAGTACTTATTTATGTTTTGATGTATTATATTACCTGGAGGCTTGTGTATTTGTACAGTACTGTCTTATAGGTGGAGACACACGAAGCCCATGTCACTGATCATTGTTTACATGTCCTACAGGAATTCATTTATGTTACTTTGTTATGTTATTAAGAAACAATATTCACAAAATTATCAAACAAATGCATATCTATGTGAAAGAAAGTAGAAGCATGTATTTAAAAGGCAGGTTTTGGAGACTATTTACAGTGTTTCCAGCTCAGTGACACTTACTTGCTTTGGTAATTCAATGCACTTTATGAATAAGACATGATTGCTGTGGTCACAGTGTTTTTCAGGGTTTAAAATCGGTCCATGATAAGACTGTTTTGGAAACAGCCTGAAGGACAGAACAAAGTCGGTCATAAACACAGTTTCCCTCACTAAAAAGCTTAGTACATGCTTCACTTGTACAGCCACATGATGGAAAAGAGATTAATTTAGTGTGTGAAGTTTGTTGATCTTTCTGTTTATAGTTGATAGATAGTAGGGGTATTAGATATCGTGAACTCTGATATTTTTAAACAATCACTTCTAGATCAGATTCAGGTCATATTTTGCTGAAATATTATCTTTATATTATCTTTACTTTAATAGTATCTTTATGGTTTTATGTCTGTTGTACTTACTCCATATTCTGACCAAATTATAATTAAAATACTGGTTTTTGCAATAATTGTAAAGTACTTGCAAAGGTTGTTAGTCAGTGTTTTATTTTTAGGTGACTCTTAGGCTAACTTTCATTTCCAAATAGTTGAAAAGATTATCTTGTGGTTTCTGTTTTGGTAGTCAAATAGGATCTTATTTTCACTACTGTAGAAACGCCTACTATCTGTAATGTGATCTCACCTTTGACCTCACATCCGATCATGGTCCCTTAGCTATACGACAAGAGCAATTTAGCTACATTTTTCATGTGGTAGGCGGACTTTATGACTGGATGTTATTTTTGCAGAAAGCATATGTTTTGCACGCTCACATTTACCATTTTCCCACCAACTTGGTACCAGATCCGGTGTTAAAAAAATCAGCTTAAAAATGAATATATAAAATACTAAAATATACAAAATTTTTCTGTTGTCTTTCTTAGTAGTCACATTCTTTAGAGTGTATGCATATGTGATCTCTGACCCTTGACCCTGTGTTATTTCTGTTTCAGGGAGAGCCCTGGGTCACCCTTTGAGGTGTACATGGAGGTGATGCATTCTGGGACGGCTGGCTCTGGTGAGTCCTCTCACTCTAACAATAGGTTAATGTTTCAGAAATATACTTCTAAAAATATGCATGATGTCGCCCACACATACTTCCTCAGAATGCTGTTATCCATTGTAGTTCTGTTTAATTAGAATTATGTTTCCTTTTCTCAGTCTTTTCTAGTAGGGAAGAGAACTAGATTAGAACATTTAGTTTCATATATGATGAATCTGTAATGGTTCAATGAGCAAATCCTAAAATATATATATATACAGTGGTGTGAAAAAGTGTTGGCCCCCTTCCTGATTTCTTATTTTTTGCATGTTTGTCACACTTTAATGTTTCAGATCATCAAATTAATTTAAATATTAATCAAAGATAACACAAGTAAACACAACATGCAGTTTTTAAATGAAGGTTTTTATTATTAAGGGATCTATCTATCTATATATATATATATATATATATATATATATATATATTATATATAAATTTAAGTGAACTAAGTGTGTAACTCTTTACATTTCCTGGTTTGTGATCAGAAATGTGGTCAGAGGCCTGTTCGGTGATTGAGTGCATTGGGAGTGTATGTGGGTTCAAGCACTTAAATGAACAAAGGCTACTGAGTGTGTTATCACTCTACAAGAAACCTTGTTTACTTGGGACCAGACTGCTATGGTGAACACTTCTGACAAAGTAACAGTCACAAAATTTAAATTTATAAGTTTTATTTCATTAAAATCTTTGCAAGAGATTCAAGAGGTTTGTTTGAGACATTTAGTAGCAGTAAACAAGATATACTACGTTCATAAGGTTGGAGAAAGTAAGATTTTTAAAATGTTTTTGAAAGAAGTCCTTTACGCTAACTAAGGCTAAATTTATTTGATAAAAAATGCAATAAAATAATAAAAAATTTGATTATTTAAAATAACTGTTTTCTATTTGAATATATTTTAAAATGTAATTTATTCCTGTGATGCAAAGCTGAATTTTCAGCATCATTACTCCAGTCTTCAGTGTCACATGATCCTTCAGAAAACATTCTAATATGCTGATTTGCTGCTCAAGAAATATTTCTTATTATTATACAAATCAGTTGAAAACAGTTCGTGCTTAATATTTTTGAGGAAACACTGATACAGTACTTTTCTTTTTGATGAATAGAAAGTTCAAAAGAACAGCATTTATTTAAAATAGAAATATTTTGTAATGTTATAAATGGTTTTATTGTCACGTTTGACCAGTGTAATGCATTCTTGCTGAATAAAAGTATTAATTTCTATAAAAAGACAATCTTAACTGACCTCAAACTTTTTAATGCTAGTATATGTAGTATGTACATAAGCTGTGTGAATTCCCACCATGCAGACCCCTAGGGTTAGCGTTGCTTGGTGACTGTATGGTTTGATGATGGCAGCAGGAGCAAAGCATCTTGGGTCTGTTCTCCTGAGACAAACCCTCCCACAGTGTTCACACATCCACAGAGTCTCATATGCCACTGAACGAAAGAGGAAACCCTTTCAGAGGGACTGTTGCGTCAATATCTGAACCACCATTGAACATAATTGACAGTGAACATGTGAGATAAAGTAAAGCTGTTTATTTTTACCTGCTGTCACTATGCATGGTTTGTTTTACAAGTTGGAGTCTGATAATAGAGATGCATAATATGGCCAAAAGTATGACAAAATCTAGATGAAATCAAAACTGATGCCTTTTACTTTCTATACTCTGTACATGTTCCTGGTCTTATTGTATATGGTTCATTGTTGCACGTAAAACCAAAGAAAAATGGTCTGATAATGGCGATTAAGTGGGCTGGCAACATGTGGGAAGACCAAACTTATATAGCAAAGCTTTTTCTATCTGTGTGTTTGATTATATAATGTTAATAACATGATTTCTGGGTTGTTTTCAGGACCAGAGGTACGAAGGAGTTTCCCCGACACATACACTGACCAGGTTTGCATTTCATTATTTACTCTCTCTCTCTCTCTCTCTCTCTCTCTCTCTCTCTAGGGATGTTGGGGTGGGGATCTCGTAATTGTTGTTCACCTCAGTGATAATGCAGTGAGCACCTGTTCTGACAGATGGAGTTTAACCACTAGAGAGTGTGTGTCGTTTTTCTGAGGGGTCTGTGGCACCAAACACCCTTTTTATGGAGTTTTAACCAAACTCGCTTAACATTCTGACTCTGGCTTCTTTGGAAACCAAAAAAAGATGTTATTCTGTACAGTGAAGGACATATGGGGAAGTAGCGAGCAAATATGTATGCTGATGTAAATATTGTGTGTGCCTCTGAAATGAATGACCAGCAACCATTTTATGTTTTATATTTCCTTTAAACCATATGTCCATAAATAAATAATAAAGACATTAATAACATTTACTAGAAAAGACAAATTTGTTATCCACAGGTGATAACTTGTCTTTGGTCATTTGAATTAAATCTGAACAATAGTGTTTCCAATAAATAAAATAACAAACAAATGAAAGGTTTATCATTGTAATTTTAATTCTATATTTATAAATTATTGTATTAATTAATTAATTAATTAATATAAACTAACAAATCAAAAGTTGTGAGTCTGCAGATTTCTCTTATTCTCATCAAGGCTGCATTAAAAAAAAAGGCAAAAACAGTAATTTTGTGAAATATTATTACAATTTAAAAGAACTGTTTTCTATTTGAATATATTTTAAAGTTTAATTTATTCCTGTGATGCAAAGCTGAATTTTCAGCATCATTACTCCAGTCTTCAGTGTTACATGATCCTTCAGAAATCATTCTAATATGCTGATTTGATGCTCGAGAAACATTTTTTATGATTATTGTCAATAATAGTTCAGTTTAATTGAGCTTAATATTTTTGTGGAAACAGCTGTTCTTTGATGAATAGAAAGAACAGCATCTATTTAAATGCTTTTATTTTTAATGTTTCCTTGCTAAATAAAAGTATGAATTTCATTACAAACATGTATAATATAGATTAGGCCTGGGCGATAAAACGGTATCGATATATATCGACGGTACACCTTCTTCGATAATGATAGAAAAATTTTTCGATATAGTGCACGAAATAGGCACGTGCTATGAGTGATGCAGACAGCCCACAGGAGCACGAACACATGCTGAATTGAGTGATGTGCCTGCCTGTGTTGAGGAGATTGTGAATAAAAAAATTAATATTAGTCGAATTTAAAATAAACATTTGCATTTGAATGTTAGGTGTGCGTCAGGGAGCGTCATCAGTGGAGCGCGAGATGCAGTGATGATGATGTAAGTGCTGTTTTTGAATTTTTATGTTTTGTTAGTCTAGCCCACGAGACGCGCAGTTGCTGCGTTATTCATTCAAAATATTAGAGAAATATAGTAGCTAGTAGTTATATAGTATAGTATAGTAGTAGTTAATTAGGTTAAAACAGAAACCAAGCCATTCACACAGAACGCAAATTCAGTGCATTTTTTAGTCGGACAAATATGACTGCTGCACTCGTGTCTCACACAAGAGATGTATAGAAAGCCATGCAAAGTTAAAACAGTTTAAACTTTCAGAAAACACGTCACGAATTTGTGGAGGTTTATTCCTTTTCACTGCGTCTCATATGTTTTTAAAGGCAATCTGTGTGAATGGTGCTTCGGCTCTTTGTATTACATGATGCGTTTTTGTTCATAATTGTTTATGCAATTTACGAAATTATATTTGATTTATATGAATTAATTTAGACGTAATGCACGTTTTTTTTATAGACAGTTATTTCCTTGCTTGACAATTTAATGCGCTGCATTATTTTGCTCATTGCGCCCTCCTGTGGCCTCGGGAAACAAGCCAAAAGTTTCCTTAAGACCTATTTAATCTGCATATAAAACATTAGAAATTAAATATTTGTTTAATTTTTTTTGTGTTTGACTGTTAAAACAAAAAATATTTGTTGTTTGTCTCAATAAATTGGGTTAATTTAAAAACACAGTGGTTAAATTTAAACACTTTTTTCTATTGCTCTTTGTTTTAAAAAAAGAGCTAATATAATAATATAATTATAATAATTATCGATACCGAACGATATGAAACATTATATCGTTGATACATTTTTTAGCTTTAACGCCCAACCCTAATATAGATATATACATATAAATAATTTATCATTTTCGTACTATTTTTCTTACTAATTTTTTTTTGACGACTTGTAAAAATAGCGAAATAAAAATGTCAGGAATTAAGGAAGCTATAATGCATTAAATAGGAAATGGGGAGCGAACACAGCGACTGTTTTTAAACTTCACCTACTGAAGCAGATGTAATTCTCTGTGTGTGCATATAACTGGAACAGATGTGTGTACCTGTCCACTCTTTATGCCTGTTGATTGCAGTTTCACACACTCCCATAGCACACACACACACACACAGACACAGCTTTAATCACCCTGATAGTTGGGTCCAGTGGTCCCAGAAGGCATTCTTTGTGTCGGCCCAGCGGTGAAGCTCTGTAATCTGGGCTGTGTCCCCTCCCTCTCCTCAGTCATGCTATTGTTAGGGATAATCCCTAACTCCTGACACAGATGAGGGCAGGAAAACACACACACTCACGTACACACACCCCTGGGGGCTCAAGTCCATATGGAGGGGTACCAAAGCGACAGCATAGTCCCTCACGCACACAGTTTGATCTGTACACGGTGGTCTTTTGTGTGAATGAAGCTAATGGTTATGTTTCAGTGTATGAATTCTTTCTTTCTCACAATCTGTTTTCAGGAAACACTACAGACTATCCCAAGGTTTTGTTTCCCTTTCAATATGGACAGGTAATATTACAATCTTTAATCAAATCAAGTCACCTTTAATTATACAGGGAATGGTTCACCCAAAAATAACAATTTGCTGGAAATCTACTCACCCTCAGGCCATCAAATATGTAGATGACTTTGTTTCATCATCAGAACAGATTTAGAGAAATTTGCCATTACATCACTTGCTCACCAATGGATGCTCTGCAGTGAATGGGTGCCGTCAGAATGAGATTCCAAACAACTGATAAAAAACATCACAATAATCCACAAGTAATCCACATGACTGCAGTCCATCAATTATCATCTTGTGAAGCACAGAGCTGTATGTTTGCTCCATAATCCATAATAACACTTCCTCCTGTTAAAAAAAAAAAAGACACCTCAAAATCCACCGACATATTTGTTTAGAACTGTTTTGGCTTATAAACATAGCTTGATCTGTGAATATTTCTCTCTTGATTCTGCCAAAATGACTTTTTCACTGGAGAAAGCAATATTATGGATAGAGGACTTGTATTATAGCTGGAAGTTTGAAGTTAAAAAATATGTTATGATGGATTTGTTTATCACAGGCATGCAGCTTTGCACTTTCACAAGACATTAGTTGATGGACTGGAGTCATGTGGATTATCATGTTTTTATCAGCTGTTTGAAAACAAGCTCAATTCAGCTATAAGCAACTACTGAATTTGACTCGACTACTGTCTAGTGTTGTTATTCAGCTTGAGTCAGTTCAGTGTTGATTCAGTTCAGTCACAAAATTGGTCAATTATACACACTTTAGCTGTAAAGCAGCTCTACAAAAAGCAATAGTGTCACCACCCAGCTCGATTAATTTTGTTTTGTTCTCATCTGATTGTGTGAGTGCCATCATTTCATTTGATTCCAGCACCTCTTGAACCTTGAATTTATATGTTCTGACCAACATTTTGTTTTTGACCCTGTCCTGTCTTCCAGTATGGCAGTGGGCCAGGTGGGGCAGAACTTCACATTTGTCCTGACGGATATCGAGAGCAAACAGCGCTTCGGATTCTGCCGGCTGTCATCGGGAGCTCACAGCTGCCACTGCATCCTCGGGTACAAACGGTTGGGTTTAAGTTTTAAATTTGAACTTAAATTGGCCTGTTTTCGTCATCCACCTACTTTAGATCAGCTTAATCTAATTGTATTCTAACCATATCTGTTCAGCTACCTGCCCTGGTTTGAGGTGTTTTACAAGCTGCTGAATATCCTGGCAGACTATACAACCAAAGGACAGGTCAGTGATGCACATACAACACTCAAATGTCACTGTGTATTATACACGCAGATGTACACATACACATTTAATCAGCTGTGTAAAAGAGGATTTCTTGCTGATTTCATACTTTCCATTCATTTGAAAATTACAATTACCTTGAAAAACTTGAACTTGACTCTGAAATATAGCTTTTTACATTTTGTATAAATAGATGATTTTTAATAAAGGCAAGTAAATAAGGATGGGTTTAATATCTACCATTTTCCCTTAGACAAAATTAGTATTCTTCATATTTAAACTACTGTTCATAAGGTTTGGACAGTATATATATATATTATTAATAAATTAATGCTTTTATTCAGCAAGTACACATTAATTTAATCAAAAGTGAAAGGAAGGACATTTATAATGCATATATGGCTTTGATTAAAGTGATTTAACATCTTATAATATATATAGTGAAAAATTAGCATGTGAAACTTGCTGTTTTCATTTGTGTGTATTTGTGTTACAGGACAGTCAATGGAGAGAGTTGTTAGAGTCTCTACACACGTTAAACATCCCTGACCCTGGAGTGCCTGTGCATTTGAGTGTGGTAATATACACAACACTTTATCAGACAAGATGTTCATATTACAATCAATTTATTGTATAAAGCTAATTATATTTCTCTCTCTCTAGCATTTGTTTTTCACAGTGCCTGATCCTAGGGAATTACCCAGTATACCTGAAAATGTAAGTCTGACTTATTAAATTGACCCTGTTAGTCAGATTTATATACAACTATTCGGTAGGGACTAGTTATAATTTTAACTAAGGATGTCTGAAAATACACGTTTAAAATGACTGTGAAAATTGTCAGATTTACATAGGACAATTCAAGGTAATTCGTCAATCCATATAACACATTGACACTCATTAAAAAAAGGATCTATGATTTCTTTTTATGTATCTGCAGAGAAATCTGACAGAGTATTTCGTAGCAGTGGATGTGAATAACATGCTGCATCTGTACGCTAGCTTGCTGTACGAAAGACGAATCCTCATTAGCTGCAGCAAGCTGAGCACTGTGAGTAACATCTCTACCATTATCTCTCTCTCTCTATTGTTGGTTGTTTCTTTACTCATTTTAGAGCTATTAATAAACCTTATTCTCCCTCTCAGTTAACCGCATGTGTTCATGGTGCGGCAGCCATGTTGTATCCCATGTACTGGCAGCATGTTTACATTCCAGTCCTGCCACAGCACTTAATAGACTACTGCTGGTGAGTGCACACACACACACAAACACACACACACACACACACACACACATACACATTTACACATACATACTTGTTAAGAACTTCATATTTCTATTGTTTTAAAATTAAGTAGCTAATTACTTGACCCTCATTTTTATATTATAAAAAAGGCATTATTTGGCACATTTAGGAGGATTTAATATATTTACAAAGGGTTTTTATTAAATTCATTAAAAAATAAATAGATATATAAGTATATATTTTAAGATCAGTCTCTTGGGGCTTACTCATTCATATCTCTTGGGGCTTACTCATTCATATTTATTGAAAAGGCAAGAGAAACCAGTTTATGTTAGAATTTCTTGATTTTGTTTTCTAATAGAATTTCCATTTTAAATGATATTAGACATTTTTTTTTATTCAGAAAGTATATTAATGACAAAAAAAGGTTGAAAAAAAGGTTTCTCTTTGAATAATTTTAGAATTTTAATCATACATTAAATTGAAAGATTCTATATAATTGTTATTATTATTATTATTATTATTATTATTTTAAGCATATGTTTTGTACTTTGCATGTATTTTTGTGTTGTTTTTTAATGTATTAAAATGATATTGGAATCATAATTGTTTTTTAATATTTAAATACTGTTGATATGGCGTTAAATCATATATAAATAAATTAAATATTATTCACTTATGATTTTAAAATATTTTCATATTTCATTTTGTAATGATTTCATATTGTAATGTCTCACAACATTACTGTTTTTACTGTATTTTTATCGAATAAATGCAGCCTTGCTCAGCATAAGAGGCTTCATTAAAAATATTTAAAAATCATAATGTTTCCAAACTTTTGAGAAGTACTGTGTATATTTAATATAATCATATATTAAATACATTTTAAAAGGCAGAAACTGTACTGAACTATTGTTATTTTTTTTAGCGCTCCGATGCCATACCTCATCGGAGTGCATTCCAGTCTTATGGAGGTGACTGATTGCTTTCTTTTATTTTACCTTACCTGCATATTCATATTCTTCTGTGTTGCAGATTCATATTTAAATCACAGTGCTGTTGTATTGTTCCTTGTTTTAGTGTAGCAGACTTCTAGGCTGTATTTAGAATATTTCATGTGTGTCTGTGTTTGTGTGTGTTGTCGTAACAGAAGGTGCGAGGTATGGCTTTAGATGATGTGGTACTTCTCAATGTAGACACAAACACTCTTGAAACGCCGTTTGATGACCTGCAAAGCCTTCCTAATGATGTGGTGAGTAAATAAGCATAAACACGACCTGCTCTGATCTCCAAAAAGTCTGATCTGTTTTGGGCATGGTGTTGATTTTGATATGTCAGTGATGATCTGATATGGAAATTTATGATGGTTGCAGCAAGTGATATATGTGTGTTGTAGGTTTCATCTTTAAAGAACCGCCTAAGAAAAGTTTCCTCGACGACAGGAGATGGAGTGGCCAGAGCGTTTCTGAAGGCGCAGGCAGCACTGTTTGGCAGTTACAGGAACGCGCTACACATTGAACCGGTGAGAGAGAGTTTGAAGTATTGATGTGCTTATGGTTTGGAATGAATTTCAGACTCATAAATGTTGGCTCTGAGCATTTGATGAAGTATTTGTTAAGCTCACCATGCAGGATGACTGTGAGACAGTGTCCCCTAGTGGACAGTCCATGTGGCTTTGTAAATATAAATGCTCTGGTTGACATGTTTTTGACTTCCCATGTTCAGGAGGAGCCAATCACCTTCAGTGAGGAAACGTTCATGACACACCGATCCAGCACAATGAGACAGTTTCTACAGAACGCTATACAGCTACAGTTCTTTAAACAGGTATTGCACAAACATTTAACTATCCAAATGAGAGCATACAATATATTTTTATTGCTTTATATAAAGCTAATTATAAATACAGCTTCAAATAAAGATTCCTTCTTTTATTCTATACACATAAGTTTATAATTTGTTTTATAAAACAGCAGCTGTTTTCTCTTTACCAGTGTTTATAGTGCTTTTCACGCATATTAAGGCACTTCCATATTTTGTTAATGTTGTATCAGCACCTTGTTTAGCAGCATCAGACTTCAGTGTTGTTATTGTTAACTAAAACTATTAAAAATAATTTTTGGTAATTAAAAAAAATAAATATTACATTAAAACGTAAACTGAATTACTGAAACTAAAATAGGTTTAAGTTGAAGTACTAAAATGACTAAAATATAGAAATATTTGAATTATTAAAAAAATGAATAAAAATGGCAGAAGCACATAACCAAATTACTAAAACTTAAACTAAAATGAAAATGAAAATTTTTAGAATCAGACACAGAGCTTTAGTCAACTTTGGCTAACCTCTTGTATAACTTATTTTAAATGGAAAATCACATGTTTATTTTATAAAGCGTCACAGTAGTCCCTCTCACGTGACGCCTACATAAAGATCATTGCTTTAATGTGTGTGTTTGCAGTTTATAGACGGGCGTTTGGAGCTGTTGAACTCTGGTGAAGGGTTCAGCGATCAGTTTGAGGAGGAGATCAATATGGGAGAATATGCTGGTAAGAGACTTTTAATTTGTCTGTATTTACTTTAAAGCTAATAATTTCATGTAATTTTGTGTTATTACTGTTTTTACATTCACTCTTCTCTGTGAATGTTTAATATTTGTGTTACAGGCAGTGATAAGACATATCATCAGTGGCTTTTCACAGTGAAGGTGACATTTCTTGTTTTTTATGTGTGCTGGAGAGGCTGATTTGTACTGATTCTTTGTGTATTTGCTTATGAGCTTTTCCCCCTCAGTCTTATGAGGTCTTTTTCACTTTTGACATACAGAAGGGCAGTGGGGCCATCTTAAACACAATGAAGACAAAGGCAAATCCTGCGATGAAGACAGTTTACAAATTTGTATGTATCCATGTGTAAACACGTTCTTTCTCAGTTCTCTATGTGTGAGTGAACTCTAGTTTTGTCTGTGAGAGAGTTTCTTCAGTTTTCTCTTTTTCTATGAGAAATTTCTCTGTGCTGCCTGTTTAAGGGATCTCCTCATGTTTTCTCTACAGGCCAAAGACCATGCCAAGATGGGCATCAAAGAAGTAAAGAGTAGACTCAAACAAAAGGTGCTCATACAATCAAGCACGCGCACACAAAAACACAATTATTCATAATTTTTGCATAAACATAGTGTATGTGCATGCATTTTTTAATAATGTGCAAGCGACTGTGTATTTACTTGCAGGAGCTTACAGAGAATGGTTACACAGAAGAGATTGGCTCCACCCACCTACCCTCCACACACAGCAAAGACTCCCTAACCTGGGACCAAGGACGTCCAATCACAGTTCACTTTGGACAGGTGGGTGTGGGGAATTATAACTGATTTGGAAATTGCAAAGTTTTGGCAAAGAGCATTAATATAGTGTAAATTGTTGTTGATTTCAAATAAAATAGTATATCACTGTAATGTACATGTACGGTATTATAATCGTGGCAACTTCAAAATAACGTAATAATTATAGGTAACTTATTATTCAAATTGTTTAGAATTTTGGAACATACATTAGCTTCTTGTCCATAAACTGGACAAAATTTAGAACACTGTGATGCGCAACTCTGACATGGAGAAGAAAGAAAGACAAACAGAGTATTTACATGTTATAGCTATTACAATTTTTGTATTCACTATGGTGTTTATCAACAATAAATACTTAATATTTATTTTTAAACACTTGTTTACACTCATACATATTAATATGGGCTAAAGACCAGCCTAGAAAAGATGTCATGATATTAGCTGAAAATGTTTTGATACTTTATTGTAATTTTTTAATAGTTGTACTCTTTTGCACTTCAGTCAGTTTGAAACATTTGTTTACTTTTTACATTTTTATTCTGTATTGTTTTATTGTATTTAATGGTAAGTTATTTTTGTTATTTGCAAACGCTGTTAAACTTGTAATTAAGAGGCTAGTAGTAAAGTTTGCTCATCTTTTTCAACCTGTTTTTAATGTAATGTATTTCAATATCTGATAAAAGCTTCAGCAATTATCGTGATATGAAGCTTTGATATCGCCACATGCCTATTTCAGATGTATGTTAAATGGAAAGTTTGTTGACATGGATGTAGTAATTAGGATTCAGTCCTTGTGTTAAAACTGTTACATTTTAGAAAGTGCGAAAGAAGTCATATTTTCACAGATAAAAGTGTGTGTGTGTGTATGTTTGGAGCAGACTGAGCAGTCACGTTCCCCACGGCCCCCTCGGCCACAACGTCCCCCTCCCCCCCATCCCTCCAAACTACAGAGCAGCACACGACCTGTGAGTAGAGCACTCTCATCCCTGACCTCTGACCTGTCACCCTGAGCTCAAATATTCCCCTCTGCCCTGGCTGCTGCACTGGAGTGTGTTATATTTGTGTGTTCTGACTGGATACTGTTTGTGTGCATGTATGTGTGTGTATTTACATGCCTGTGTGATATAACATCAATTATTTTTCTACAGAATAATGCTCACTCACACATGAATGAGTTTGTCATGTGTGTTTGCACTTACTTTTCTACCGCACAAACTTTTTTCCTTCGGTTTAAAGGGTGCTTTATTCTGTCTGCCACTCTTCAGGTCTTGGATACCGCATTTCTGTTTACATTTGATAGGATCTTGACCTCTGATCCTTGCTGTCTAAAAGGAGCAATTGACTTCTGACTTAACAGTGACTGCGGTGACATCTACAAGGATTTAACAAATCCAGAACTTTTTAAGACATTGGTATACTGTTTAAAAAACCTGTGTTTGCAGGCTCGACCTCCTCGGCCTCTGGTGCCAAAGAGACCACGAAGTAACATTGGCATCGAAGGAAGCCCTGAACAGTAAGACTCAAACATTTAACCTTTCTCACATGCAGTTGCAAAACACAAACAAATAGACAATGGTCTTTGTGTTTCTATCTAGGGAGCATTTTACTTCGCATTCACGGCATTGGTCAGATTTAATTGTTCAATGCCAGCTAAACTTTATATTTGTCCATTCAGAAGAATTGTGAACAGGTAGATACACAAAGATCTGGATGAGTGAACTTAAAATAGAAGATGACATGCTAATTTATAGCTATGCATGTTGACTAAATTGTTTAGGAAAAAGTAACTTGTTTTGCAGATTGGTAATATATAAAGGTAATACTGTATTATTGTATCAGTGTTTCTCTTGTTGTTAGGCAGATTGTTTACATTTGTAATGAACTACATTTGTAGTTTCGCAGAATACTTAAGCCAATCTTAAATAAAGATAATGAAAACAATCTAACTAAAATCTTTTTCCTTTATTTATTAGATTAATATCAATGTAATAAGTGGGATAATGTAGAGCCAGCAGATCATTATTGCAAAATAAACTCCTTCGGTTTGATACAAGATGCCTCTACTTTGCATCCGGTTGCTGTTCTTGTTTTATTTTGCTATAGTGGCTGAGACCAAGTTTTTAAATTTTTATTATTTGTATACTGTTATAGTTTTTTTTAATTAATAATTTGATTTAGCTTTTTTTAAGTTTTCAGGTTTTCATTTTAATTTTAGTTTAATGTTTACTGATTTTATGTACTTTTGCCATTAAAAAAAAAAAAAACTTAAAATACAATTCTAAATATTTCCAGTGTATTTTAAAGTTTCAGTTTTATTTCAGCTAGTAATTTTAGTACTTAAACCTACATAAACTAACCAAAACCTTTTTTGGTTTGTTGCCAAAACAACATTTTTAATTCAGTGTTTTTCAATATTTTATATTTTATTTCAGTTAAAAATTATGTTTTTGTTAGTTTTATATTTTTAATAGTTTTAGGCTATACATTATCCCTCAAATATCTATCACATACAAATCAGCACAGTAAAAATGTTGTGGTCTTGATTGTGTGATTGCATGTCTCACTTACTCTTTCTTTTTCTCCTTCACTCTTGTGTTTTCTCTTTCACACTGGGATGGTGGTTTTTGTCATTTGTGTTTGTGTGTGGTTACACCTAATACTTGGCTCTCTTTGTCTCTGCCAATTTGTTTATGCTTTCTTTTTTTGTTGCTGCTGTGCATCTCTGTTGATGCTGTAGTTACGTGCGTCCAACCCGTCACTATACAGTGTTTCTGTGTGAGGATTCTTCGGGTGATGAGCTGTCTCAGGATGACGACTCCATTGCTGCTTTTCCTGAACACTTCCTGCTTTCTGCTCCTTTTGAATGGTCTCTGTTCAAGTGGTTTTCATCCTTGATTTCTTTAATGTCCATTAGTCTTAAAGTGAATATTTGATGGCTTTTTTACATGCTTAAATATAAAAAGCATTTGGACACACTAAAAATGTAAAGATGTCACTGCATTAGGTTACAAAATATCAAACCAAGTGTTACCATTAAATATACTGATACTGTCCAAAACAAATTCTAGTTGTGGAACTTACCTATAGTACTGTACAGTAGAACCAATTTTTCAGCATAAATTGTATCAACTGTACATAGAGATACCCCAGGGCTTGGTGCTTGGCCCCCAATCTTCTCCCAGTGTTCCTCTAGTTGACCTTCGTGCATAGGCATGTAATACAGAATGGGCCAGCGTGTTTAGTCTCCATTGACAAAGTACTTAAAACTAACAAACATCTCATATCTGAGCATGCCATACAGCTTCTTGTCCAAACTCTTGTCATCTCTAGATTTCTCATGTATGCACTATTAAAGTTCTGCATATAATCAAGAATACAGCAAAGTGTTTAGTTCTGGATCAAGCCCAGAGGGCAATATGTTATCTAATGCAATGACAACCTAATTTTCAAGTGTCTCAAGTGTCTTTTTGGGACCGCTGTACGCCATAGTATTTAGTTAAGCTGTGGCCTGCTAGATTTGTTTTTGATGTTGGCTTAAATCAGTTTTATTGCATGGCTAGATTTAATAAATGTGATGTCTTAGCCTGAGGCATGCAACCGCTTATTTATGTAAAGTGATTTTGATTGTTTTGTTGATCAAATCTGCCCATTTCAACAGCTCTTCATCTAACATGAAAATTATAATTGTGTGTCTGTACTTGTTTGTGCATGTGTTGTGCGTCCGTGTGCTTGTTTGTGTGTATTGGTGGCATGGATGTGCGCGAATGTGTTTTTGTTCGCGTATGTGACTTAGGCCCCAGCCATACAGGTCTCTGAAAGAGGCACAGCTTGTGGAAGAAGGTGAGGAGGTTGGGGAGCGCTTCCAAGGTAACACTGCTCCGTCCAGCCCTGTGCTAGACAAGTTCTCTGACCTGAGCCTGTTGCAGGATGCCTTCCGTAGTCAGCAGGGGGAGCAAGAATGTACAGAAACCACAAATACCACAAAACCGTCTCACAGCACACACTCTACACTCAGTTCCGCCAGAAGTTTGGAGGAGCTTCGAGCAGACCCACAACATGCCAACTTCAGCTACCAGGTTAGATCATGCTGCAAAGTTTTGGGAGTGATAGCCACAATTTAATGCACAAGAGAATCCCATAAATTAGTGTTTCCCAACATTGTTCCTGGAGGCACAACAAAAGTACACATTTTTGAACTCTTTGGGCCTGTTTACACCTGGTCACTTAATGCATTTTGTCTGATCAGATAGCTATCTGATTTATTAAAGCGGTTCCATTTACACTTGGCCACATAAATGTGTCTCTGCAAAACGGATACAAATCTGATCCTCAATTCCTGCACTATATGCAAATTTAACGGATTTCACATCAACAAAAGCAACAGATATGCGCTGCATTTTATGCTTTTCATAAAATTTCAAGATCAAAGACCACAACAGGAGAGAGTGCGGCATCAGCACTGGAAAGATAAGTTAATCTCACTACTTTTAATAAAGATGACTGTGTGTTGAGCATCTGTGACTTACTTTGTTTCATTTGTGGCAGTATGAGCGTCGGCTTGCTGAAGAGATACTCAGCTACTCCTCCGCGGCGATGCTGTTGCATTAGCGCAGTCATATGTGACTATAACATGCCATATTACCTATAAAACGCTCTCACACGTTCCTATTATTTTAATATTTTGGGAGGAGTAAAATTTGCATGTGGTTTCAACAACCAGATGCATTTACACTTTTTGTCCAGTTTCATCTGGAATGCAGCCCAGACCACCTCCTGAAGTGATTTGAGCGATCAGATTTAAATCCGTCTTGAAAGTGTTTCAGAGGGCATTTACACCTGGTCTTTTCACGATCTGATAGCTATTCGATAAGAGAAAACGCATGAATCAGGTTTGAGAAATGTTGCCTAAATTATTGTTCCACTTGTAGGGAATACAGGAGACAATGCCAAACTCAAAATGGTGTATGTTGAGAACCATAGCAACGTTTTGTCATCTTTTAGGAGTTGATTACAGTTGTCACTCCTTTAAGCACTCAAACTCTAGGTGTACAAAACAGGATTTTAAGCACTCCAAAGCAACCAAATTTATCAGTGTAAATGGCCTTTATCTATCTTAAAACCTGTTCTAATTGTTTGTTCTCCAGCGGATGGATCTTACTTCTAGTGAGCGCACACACACACTCCCTGGTCTTAAAAGCACCAATCCATACAGCAAGCTCTGGAGCCAAAGAAAAGACCTGTCCACGTTGCTTGGCCAAGAGTCACCTTCCTGGGAGAGACCTCTCTCCGTGCCACCCTTGGAACCCCCAGAGGCACCGCCACCCAGCAGAGAGAGTTCAAATCTCAGTGGAGAGAAGACCGAAGGGGCTTGTATCACAATCCCTCGTCCCCAAGGTCGAAAAACACCTGAACCGGGTGCAGTTCTGGCACCCGCTGTGACCCTGCTGCGCGGGGTTAAACAGGCCAGCGAAAAGGAGGGAGGAGTGTCCACTGGAGGGCAAGAGTTTCGGCAAGCACTGAACATGTCTCCTCACTCCCAATCACAAACTCAGGCGGACTTATTGAAGCCCAGTGAGCCGAACGAGGGACAGGACTTGCTCAGCTTGTTGGACCCTCTGTGCGGAGCAACGAAGAATGAGGCCACCCCATCCCTCTCTAAACCCCCTATACCTCCTCGACCCAACCCCCCAAACCTGCCCGCCTTCCCCCCTCCAGTATCACTGAACCCCTTTACCCAACCACCCCAGTACCAGCCACAAAGGCACTATAGTCATGTTGTCCCAGGTAACCCTTTTGTCCCAGCCTGCATGCCTCCCCCAGGTGCCAACTACTTTCCCACTTCTGCCCACCCGTTCTCTGTATTCGGTCAGACATCTGCTGTGGGTGTGGCCCCAACTGGAGGGGCGTGGCCAGTTGGACGCCTTCCTCCATCCTCCAGCAGTAGCGGCTCTCTTTCAACCCTCTTGGACTCACCTGCTCCTACTACTCTGGCCCAGCCTGCGCAAGTCTCTACAGACGAATCCAGTGACCCATTCAGTGACCTTCTTACTATGGCAACCACACCAACTGTAATGACCACGCCCCCCAAAAAGAAGGTAGAGGATTTGCGAAGAAGGTGGGAAACCTTTGACTAGCTGTGCTCACATCTTTCCTCTATGGCTGCTACCAAACAGTGAGGGACTGCAAATTTAGAGCCAGTGGGTATTTAAGATTGTGCCCCTTAGTGGCCTAAAAGCACTGTTGGACATTTTCCCTCTCAGAGTGTGTCGTGCTTTTTTTTGCGCCTAGCTCACACACTTAGCCTTATGCACGCAGATGCTAATGATGCATTTCCCATAGCATCCGGATGAACAGTGTTGTTCCAATAGCAGCAAGTTTAACACTGAAAAACCATATTAGCAGGATAACACTGTATTTTCTGTAGCTAGCAGTCTAGTTTCCACAGGGATCAGACTACAATACTAAAGATACCACACAGTAATATGACCCAAGTCCTACATTAGCGATTAGACTGCCATTGCTGCGTTTATGGCGGCAATTGCACGTCCTCTTAACAATCAGTACTGTTTTAATAAGAAGCTTGTTTTTTAAACCTACACACATTAATGAATTCAAACCGTTACACCCTAACATTCAATTCTTGTGCGAACTTCTACAAACGATTGTTAAATTGGCATTTATAATGCACCTGAATACAAATATTTGCTAATCCCTAGTAGATGGCATACTACACATCCCACACTACTTGCTACATGACACAAGGGCAAACTACATTCTGGACTCTATAATGCAAATTGCATATAACGTTGTGATTGCGGTACCTGCTGTGTACTTCATATTTGCACTACATTACATACAGCATACAATGATGCATACTGCACTACATATCGTGCCCTAGTAGAAGCTATATGCTACTCACTGCTTAGAGCATAGAGTGTGATAAAGTGCAGCAGAATGGTAGTGCTCAGAACGGGTCGGAGTAAACAGCCCTGTATAACACAACACTGCCCCCTAGAGGTCTGAAGTCAGAGGACAAAAATGCAGTATGCATTTGATGCATTCATTTTTTTTTTAGGTTAAATACATGGTGAACGCCCTCACTGGTACCGGCTTTACCTCTAGTTCTGCTTGCCTGTGTGTCAGTCCAAAAGTATTAAAATGGGTCTTATGGAACAGGGTTCTGTTTGGTTTCAAAATAGTTTAGTTTGGATACTAATTGTCCACTTGCTTTGATTTGATGTTAAAGTTCTTGTTTTATTCTGAGCATCACATGATAGACTTACAGCTTTCATAAAGCGATCAGTCACCACCCTTCTTTTTAGCACTACCCTTTCCATCTAACCTGCTACTGCCATGCACTCTGCATTATGATTATTTATTCTAATAGAGCCTTTTTGCGCTTTTTAAATATACATACTGCTATAAAGTGTGTTCAAATGAATCCTAACGCTAACAACTGGTTTTCTTGTCATAGACTGTGCCTGTTTTCTGGGTTTAGTTCAGCACTATACACAACCTGTGTTGGAGGATCTTTGTTTCATGCCATGTTTTGCTATATTTTTGTCTGAGACTTGCAAGTAGGAGAACACTGTTTGTGCAAATCTTGACATGGAAAAGAATTGTGTACAACCAAACGCTCAAATCCAAAAGAAACATGTTTTTGTCAGGGAACATCAGGGAGTGAACTGGTGTCTCTTCTCTGGTTTTATTGCTGTATTTAAAGATATGAAATAATGTTATTTGTGTTATTAAAGTGTTCTCGAACATCTCTATCCACCCTGTAGAGCTGTTAGAAGATCACGTTTTCTGTTAGTTTATCTGTTTATATCACCTTTCGAATTTGGCCTTAAATGAGAGTGTGTGTGTGCATGTTGTGTGTGTAAATTCAGAGCTGTTTGTGGTGAGAGGTTTGTTGTGTATTCCTAGTCGTACTGCATGGGTTGTTCCGGTGTTTTGGTTCATATATTGTCTTAATGTTAAAAATATGATTTTTACATTTCACATCAGCGGTTAGGTTGAAATGTGATTGGTGAAACACTGTCCTTGGTCAGTAATCTATACTGAATGTTTAAAACAAAATTTCAGTGGCAATGGAAGCCAATACACCATCACAGAATACACTGAGCGGCATTGCACTGGATTGCAGTGAGCTTCTACTAGGGAGACTTTAATAATGTTTGACAAACACAAAACTTAAAATGAATTACAGCAAGATGTGTGTGTGTGCATATTAAAGTGTTACTTTAAAACAGAAAATATTTTGAAATATTCCGAAAAAATTAATTGATTGATGCTAAACGAGGCATTTTTTAATTGACAAAAATACATTTGCTAAGTATTCTGTTAAAAGTACCTACACATTTAACTGCAGCAGATACAGTATTTTTTTTCTTTTTAGGAAATCGTCAGATGAGCTGAAGCTGTCATATTTTTTCCCCATACAGTGAATTAACTGGCAAGACATCCAAACATGTTTAGTGTTAAAAGTTGTTCTGGGTGAAGTATTGTAGATGACATCACTGCACAGCAGTCATTGAGACCCGTCACTGAATGTGATTGTATTCTGTATTCCAGCGGAAAAGTGTAAAATTATAATCTACTATGTCTGGGTAAAAGAGGTTTTGAAAATGTGGCTGGCATGGATTTAACAAACATTGTAGGACCTATTTTGACAGGATCCTTTGAGGTTTCTCCGCTTGAATGGTAGGAGAGTGCAAGGTGGAACTATCAAGATGTGTTTCTGATGTGTAAAATACAATTTTTTCTTGGAATGTATCCTAATATGAACTCGTATCCTCTTATTATCATCTTGCACTTTTTTATTTTTTTATTATTATTATTTGGATGCTATTATTTGTGTTTGCCATAATTAAAAAGCACACAGTATATTCATGCGAAAGTGGTGAGTTTGAGATTTGTTTTGCTCACATTTATTCATTTATTTTTAACCGTTCTCTTTCCCAGTATTCTTGCGCATATTGTGTTTTATTTTAGGACTATCAGTTTAACATGTTAAAATGCACATGATTTTCCTAATTATTTTAGCTGTAACTCCTTTTAAACATGCAAATACAAACACTTTTATTATACATTTTTTTTGCACATTTACACATTCAAAAATATATTCCTAAAATGTTGTAGTTTACACTGCACTGTTTAGTTTAGTAAATCCTATGCATTCATTTGAAGAAAGCCTGACTGATTTGACAAAAAAAGAAAAAATATTATAGCCACAATTTACAACATATACACTCAATCAGTTTTTACAGCATTTAGACATCAGCAAGGATTTGTTCTTATGTTTATCTCTCATGTCTTATTTCATCTTCACAGACAGACGAATATTATTTCACCACTCATGCAATCATATTTGCATGTGTACGCAGAGGGAAGTGTGTATAAACAGTGGTGGTGGTGTTTATTTATCTTTAGTAGTATGAACACATTCCTAAAAAATGTCAAGTACAGTGATTGTCAAACAGTAACATGTTCACAGTTTTTCCAACAATGGTCTCGAACAATAAAAACAAATTGCGTTCACATTTTGTTGGAATCACCATAATTCCTTTTTTGCTAATACCAATTTTTCTCAGATTGTCTTGTGACTCCACCCATAACAGTTAAATAGCTGTGCTGCTTTGCTGTCTAGCAAAAAATGTAATCACTACATTAAAACACTTCTTGCTGTCTCGTATATGTGACCCTGGACCACAAAATCGGTCTTGTCTCTTGGGGATATTTTTAGCAATAGCCCAAAAAAAACTTGGCTGAATTGTGAAAACAAAATTATCGATTTTTCTTTTATGCCAAAAATCATTAGGATATTAAGTAAAGATCATGTTCCATGAAGATATTTTGTAAATTTCCTACGGTAAATAGATCAAAACTTAATTTTTGATTAGTAATATGCATTAAGAACTTCATTTGGACAACTTTAAAGGCGATTTTCTCAATATTTTGATTTTTATGCACCCCCAGATTCCAGATTTTCAAATAGTTGTATCTCAGCCGAATATTGTCCTATCCTAACAAACCATACATCAATGGAAAGCTTATTTATTCAGCGTTCAGATGATGTATAAATCTCAATTTCAGAAAATTGACCCTTATGACTGGTTTTGTGGTCCAGGGTCACATATTAAATACTGGAAGTGCAGATTATTGGCTAAAATAAAATAGCATTCAGACAAAGGTGTGCTGAGATTGCTACATAACTAGCATTACTTGTAGTCTTTTTGGTTGTTTATACATGATGTAACAACAGTCAAATAAAGCCAGAGCTGTTTTTCTGTTCAAAATTCAAAGGTTTGTTGTTATTTCCTACAAACTTGTGATTGTGCGTTCAGCAAAGACGTGAATAGTTTTTAGTATTCGGGAGCGCATAATTAGGGTAATTCTGACGCAATGTGAACGCAACAATGCAATGAATTACGCAAAGCAGCAAGGCCCAGTTTTTCTTTTAAGAAAATGCATTACTTTAAAAGGGTAACTAGTTCCAGTTGTTTTCCACTCTTGAAAATGCTAATATATGGCTAATTGTTCACATCGGCATGAATATGAAGCCACATTCCTCAGTGTTGATTATCATATCCAGTGTAGCCTACAGCAGGAA